TGTATAATGGTTAAACTGATAAAAATTAATTTTTTCTCAATTTATAATTGTAATGATTGTTGTCATTTGAGAAATTTACTTTTTCATTTCAGGTAGGCCTACTGCACTTTCTCCAGTAAGCACAAATAAATAGAATGTGGACACATACATGGTGTATTTTACCTCATCTAGTGTACTGATTTATTATAGGCTTTTTATTATATAAATCAACACCAAAGACTTATGCAATCTCTAAAACAAACAAAAAATATTATAACAGTGAAATTCCTAGTAATTCCACTAATTCCATAATTGCAATAGTCTATTTCTCTATTAAAACAACAGTGATTGAGTAAGTGTATTTATTCAGCGATCACAATCGCAAACAATACAGTCGAGATCTCATGACAGAACACTGACCGGCTGAATTACGCTTTCATTTAGATCGCTAAACTCCAGCTTGTTTGTTTTTCAGATCATCTGCGACGGTGCTTCCGCAATGAGGAGAGAGCGCGTGTGCATGGTTGCCAGATTGCTTAAAATAAGCATGACACACCGGCCGGAAAATGTATGAATTTAACAACGAAGCTCTGATTCGGGGATTAAAACTCTTGATATCTGGCAACCGCACTCATGAAAGCTCGCGTAGTAGAGGCGTGCAGTGAAGTCTGCAATAACATTTTGTCTCCTTTTTTGACGAAAATAAAAAGAGGTTTTTGTGTTTTAAAAATTTTTGTTGGCCCCTGAGCATTATAAATTTATGAAACTAAGCATGTTTCCTAAGAATGACTTGTTCTTCATATGTAAAAAGTTTTAAAGAATTTGGATAATGCACTTTAAAGATATAAGAAAATGACTTTTTTTTTTTACTGTTACTTTAATAAATCGCCATCGAAACACCATTCAAGGTATCCAAAATCCGTTTACAATTGAGCATCTTCAGTATCTTGGCATCATATTGACAAAGTTCGGTGTGAATTGCATGATTCTCCTAGGATGAATATGCATAAAATTTCTACTAACAACTGGTTTAATATTCAAATATTCTGCCAAATTTTTTTTTTGATTTATTGGATATTCCATGTCTCACTAAACGGAATCAATATACTATGTATGCAATGGTTTAACGAGGAAAAATTACAATATAAATTATTTGAAATAATAATAAATAAAAATAAGACAATAAAATAAATACAAATAATTTGAAAAGCATTTTGTAAAATTATAAATTTAGTAATTTTATTTTAAAGTTTATTTCATTTCAAGGAACAAAACTACTTTATGATTTTAGTTTTACTAAACTATAATGCCCCTGAAGATAATTTTGTACAATGTGCATGTATGAGACAGAACACAGTAGACCTGTGCTTTTAGGCGAGTCCTCCTCCTCTTCCTCATCCACTTCTGCTCTGTCTGAATCAGTGGTTGGCGTGTCCTGGGAGATGCTCATAGCAGTCATCTGCTGGGTTACTGGGCTGGGCGAACTACTGCATAAACACAATACAACCGAATACAATTCAATTCAATGGTATTCGCATTGAGTTATCTCGCAGGAGTTATTTGATATAATTCATTTCCTTCTTATACCATCACAAGCTGTTTTGCACTTGTAGTTTATACCAATTGAAGCATGAACCGTCTCAGATTTATAAAGTTCTTCTTACCTAGACTTGCGCTCTTCAGGTGGGGTAACAGCTTCCGTAGTGGGTACAGGGGTGGACTCCACCGTCACCGCAGATGCCCCTGGGGAACCTACAGGAGATGTGGCACCTGGAAGAAACGAACAGAATCCTAATTATGAACTCTGCTTAACCTCAAAACTGAGTGAGCGCATTTAATTCCTAATACAACAGGTACATGTGATCTCCTAGAATCCTACCTTTCTCACCTGGGGGACTGTTTCTCCCCCCTCCTTGTTGTCTCTGCAGATGTTCCTTGTAGCAGATAGAGCACATTCCATTGGTGCGAGGGTTACCATAGAAACCACATCCCATAGTGCAAAGCATTGGCACCTGCGTCTGATTTGTCTCCTGAGCCATGCTGTTTTAGAAGGGGGTAAGGGGGACGGGAGAGGGCGATCCTAGAAACGGAGTCTAAGAATTAGTATTTCAAAAGCATAATTTATAATGAAGTGGCCAAAAAAAGCCTGATCTAAAAGGAAATTATATCTAAAAATTGTCAATATTTACTCACCGTGATTTCATTCCTGACCCATGAGACATTTTATTTTCTATGAAACAGAAAAATTAGCTTCACATAGATCTCTTCCATAAAACCTTGTATCCATTGACAATCAAGCTCCAAAAAAGACACAAAAAAGCCTATAAAAGTACCATAAATGTTATACAACTCATGTGCTATATTAGAAGTCTTCTGAAGCCATGTGATAGCTTTGTGTGAATACAGCATGTGAGTCATATTAGACAGTTGTGGTGCTTTTTTGTCCTTTCTGTGGCTTGATAGCCCATGGTCACTGTGAACTGTTGTTGTATGGAAAAATAATTAATGTGAAGATGTGAAAACTATTTTTGTGTTCCATGGAAGAAGAAGAAAAAACAGCACCCAGGTTTGGAATGACATGAGGGTGAATAAACAATTACTATTTTTTATTGTTGAGCAAACTATTCGTTTACACTTTATGGAAAAATAATTAATGTGAAGATGTGAAAACTATTTTTGTGTTCCATGGAAGAAGAAGAAACAGCACCCAGGTTTGGAATGACATGAGGGTGAATAAACAATTACTATTTTTTATTGTTGAGCAAACTATTCGTTTACACTTTAAAAGTTGTCCTTGTTGCACTGTTACTATACAAATGAATACCGAGCAATACTAAGCAACATGTAATTGCTATAGGTTTGGTTTAGTTGCTTATAATTATGCATAATTTACTGTTAGTACTATAAACACAAAACGTGTAACAAGGACACTTTAAAATAAAGTTTTACCAACTATTTCTTTACAAACACATTAAAACTATTAATGCATAATTGCTATATCATAACACATGCATCCAATTTAATCTATTGTGCTCTACCCTTGACTTTGCTGAAAAGCTTTGAAAATAATACCCATTTCTGTTGTTAATTTACTCAACATGGCTATATAGAATAATAGATTTGTACACACTAAACAGGAAGAGAAAAGTAGAGACGAAAAGTTTATCAATGAAACTGGTGAAACTGTTTAATGTTGCTGGATTCCCCTTACAGTGAGTAAAAACCCAACTTTCAACCATTTGCCTTATTTGCTGGTGACCCTGCTAGAGGCTGACAATATGCTGCACGAAAACAAAAGTTCCTTTGTTTGTTCGCGTTTTGTTTCTCAAACAAGCGAAGAATGATCCAGGTTACTGAAACCTAAACAGCCTGCTGATCAAATGACGATTACAATCTGGCAACAGTTGCGCTTCAATTCGAATAAAATCGAGCCAGTAAGTGTTTAACGCTGAAATGGAAGTTTCTCTTAACTATCTCAACGACAGATTACCAAGCAAACGGGGAATAAATAGAGTTATTCTGGAGCATGTCCAGGAAAAAATCAGCTGAGAGGGGCTCTGCAATTGGAAAAACATTTGGTCTTTGACCCGAGTATCGCGACAAACAACAAATCGACTTGGTCTCAGCGTCAAAGCGACACAGAAAGCGAATGGTTTCCTTCCAAAGTAGTTAATATTACGTACAGCTGACCGTGTTAAAATCGCTGACCAGATGAAAGTCATTTTGTTTGAGATACTCAACTAGCCAGGCTAACGCGCTAGCTCTGCTAACGGCTAGCTGACGTGATGGCACGCACACAAAACGGACAGCTGGGACCCCGAGACCGTCCCACAAACACTTGTAGTGGCTGAAAACCTCCGTTAGCTCGAATATTTACCCCTATTTTCGTGTGACTGAGGAGAAATCGACGACCTTGATCCACAGAAACCTTGACAGGGTAGGTTCCTGCTATGCGCGTGCGGCCTGCTTCTCTCAGCGTCATCCGAAACAACGGGCATGACGTCACCCGTAGCGCAACAATTCATCTTTTGGCCATCATCGAAACTTCATCACACTTCCCCCCAGTCCAGTCCAGTCCAGTCCAGTCCAGTCCAGTCCACACCAACAACACTGCCATGTATTTAGATAACATGCAGTTTATTTGGTTTGAGAAAACATTGGTTTGAGTGCCACAGTTGTATTGTTTTCAGAGTTGTTTAAATTAAAAAGATGTAAGAAGATATTTTAGGGAGGGCAAATTGGTAGTGTGCAAGTTATAGGAATGTGACTGCTTTCGTTTTCAATTTCAGTGTCAAAGCTTCCTACTTAAGCTCCTTTTTGTGAATTATTCCTTCAACTGCATCCACATGTTGCTGTAAGATTATAGCAACAGTATGTATGTTATTTTTGTTCCACTCCTCTTGTTAAAAGACACCACAGGTAAATATGGTAAAAGTTTTAACTAATTGATATCACAATACTTCCCTGGATGATTAATTACAGTACATCGAGACAAATGTTATGTTTAAATATGCAAATGAGTCATTATCTAATTACATATGCACTCATTTGCATACATTTTTGGGAACATTGGATCAAGTAGGATGAAAAGTCTTGTCTTGTTTGCTTTTTAACAGTCTGCTTTATCACTCCATGAATCAGAAAATACTGTCAGCAGCCAGAAAAAATATATATACATTTTCAGGAATAAAATATTACATCAATCAGTGTGAATGATTTATGAACAAACCCCTCATTAAAAACCTCCAGAATAAAACTGGAAGGTTTGTGAAGGGGAGATTTCTGGCTCAGTGCATGAGAAAATAAACTCATTTTGAGAAAACAGCCTTTAAAGTTCCCCTGAAACCTGCAGCGCTACTCTTATGTGTTGACGTCATTTTAAAGGGGTCATATGATGCGATTTCAATTGTTCCTTTCTCTTTGGAGTGTTACAAGCTCTTGGTGCATAAAGAAGATCTGTAAAGTTGCAAAGACTAAAGTCTCAAATCCAAAGAGATATTCTTTATAAAAGTTAAGAGTCAGCCACGCCTACCTAAAACGGCTCGTTCTAACACGCCCCCACATGTCTACGTCATGATCTGGGAAGATTTGCATAACATCGCCCAAATGTTCACGCAAAGAAGGCGTAATTTTTATTCTCGCTGTATTGTTGTTGCTGCTGCCGCCATGTCGTGAAGGCTCTGTGTTTCGTTGTGAAAGCGAAACTACTTTGTTTGGCCTTCCAAAAGAGGACACGACTAGAAATCAGTGGTTAAGTTGTATTTACAACACTGTTCCAGAACAGTTCAACCCAAATATTCAAATGTGTGCAGCGCATTTTATGGAGGACTGTTTCCTGATCCTGGTAGAGTAGACTACAACGCCGGCTGTTCTGACTCACAGACTGTAAGTACGTTTTTATATTTAAAGAATTTGCCACTGACGATTCAAACGCGAGTTTTGAGCAGTGTAGATTAGCGTTTGTAGTTTGTAATTTCTCCGATCACAAATGCAGACATGATTTTATGTTTACGCGGCGTGATGCAATGCAATGCATATAAAGACAGTATAAGTCATTATAATCCGTAATTATGTCCCCACTGGATGCATCAAATGCCTCGTTTATAATGGGTTTTAATGTTTTTGTCTCGTCGCTCCGGCCGGGACACGCCATCACAATGTGGTAAGGGGCATAACATTTCCGTCACACATTTGAGGTATTCGGCCAATCACAATGCACTGGATAGCTGGCCAATCAGAGCACACCTCGCTTTTCAGACCGATGAGCTTGTAAAAATCGACTCATTTCAAAAAGGCGGGGCATAGAGGAGAAACAATAATGTACAGAATGTGAAAAATAATTTGTTTTTTGAACCTTAAACCGCATAAACATTTCATTACACCAAATAATGTTCTTTTTAGCAACATCATATAACCCCTTTAAATGTGTATTGAAAACATGTCATGGAGGCGAAATAGCCAAAAATCTTAAAACTGACCATTGCATGAAAAAACAATAGAAAAAAAAATACACATTTGCCTGTCTTGCCTTAATTCCAAGAGCAGAGCAGAGATACTCACTATAGCAGGGCACTTGCTTCTGTGATATTGCATATGTATAACCTTAAATATGCTAAAATGGTTCATTATTAAATATTACCTCTCTTAAGAATCCTTAATTTGTGCCCAGAAAGCAAAAAACAAATGGTTACAAAAGAAATAATTTCTTAGACAAAGCTTTTTTTTCTCCACTGATCCATTTGTTTTGCATTTCAGATAATCAACATATCTCTTTTGCAGGAGTTATGATATGAAAATCAAGGAATTACAAAACCAGTGACTATGAAGAATGATTTGCTTTTATTCATAAAGTACATACATGTATTCAGTATTTAAGTACCACAAAGGTTTGAATGCTACACACAGTATATCACCCACAGAAACCTACATACTCTACCTGGTAGTGGTTTCAATACTTTCAGAATACTGACATTGATGAAATGATAATTTGCCATTTATGTTAATTATGCTGTAATTTCAACAATTTAGTGCGAGTCTAAAGACTCCAGTTAACACTAGTTTAAATTAAAAAATGGAAATAGTTAAAACATACAACAATTTGAACCATATAGCAACCTATTTCATCAGTTTTACTTAAGTTGTATGGCATTTTCAATCGCCTTTCTCTGTTTTCTGAGGTGCAAAAGGCCCAACCAGCCAATTGAGAGGAGTGTTATTGAGAAGGTACTCCACGACTCCATCCAATGACTGTCGTACCTGTTGAAGGATGAAAATATACATTGAACACTTTCTAAATTCTACATACATTTTTAGTAGTAAAATAGAATAAAGCACAACAATTGGTATACGGTGTACAAAACTGCATACACTCAAAATGACTATACCTGGCCGATCTGCTGCCGTGTCTGTTCTAAGAGAATGGGTGTGAGTGTCTTGGTGCTGCTCAGAGATGCCTGGAGCTCTCCAGCTGTATGTCGAGCATTCAGAAGCTGTTCCTGCACAGTGCCTGGGAGACCCTGTATACTGGACACAGCCCCTGAACATGCTGCCTTCAGCTGATCACTCAAACCTCGTACCATCGACAGAGCTCTCGATTCCAGTTCCTATGAGGAGACATCCACGAGTAAGATATATAAATATTCATAGATATATTTTGTATCGCATTTTAAGTAAAACAAACTGTACCTCTTCCTTGTCTTTTGCTGTATCTACTTCTGTCTCAGCTGTTACTTTCTCCTGCAGTTCTTTGGGCTGCCCTTCCTTCCATTCTTTCCATCTCTGCAGTAACTGCTCCGGAGCGCCCCCTAGCTGCTGGTTGGCACTGGCCAAGGTTACCCGGGCACTTTCCAGCAGGTCCAAAGTGCTGGTCATTTGAGTCACAGCTGCATGCGTAGTGTCTCTGGCCTTGCGTGCCCTAATGAGAGACTGCTCAAGTGCCCTCTCCCGAACTTTTGCAGACAGTTTACCTAGGCGGACGAAATAGCTGGGTCTAGTAGTTACTATGAATCCTTCCTCCTCACCTGGTCTTGGTTCAGCCAGTGCAGCTGTGGGCAGAACACACAACACTGATGTTTTTTAAAATGTTTTTCAAATGTCTTTTATGCTCGCCAAGGCTACATTTATTTGATTAAAACAGAAAAAAAATAGTATTGTGAAATAATATTACAATGTAAAATAACAGTTTTCTATTTGATAATGAAATAATGAAATGTAATTTATTTCTGTGATAGCAAAGCAGCAGCCATTACACCAGTCTTCAATGTCACATGACATTCAGAAATCATTCTAATATGCTGATTTGATGCTCAAGAAATATTTCTTAATATTATCACATTGTCAAAGTTGAAAACAGTTATGCTGCTTAATATGTTTGTGGAAACCACGATACAGGTTCAAAAGAACAACATTTATTTGAAATAGATTTTTTTCAGTGTAAAAGTATTTTGTCACCTTTGAACAATTTAATGCATGCTAGCTGAACAAAAGTATTAACTTCTTTTAAAAAAATTACTGACTCCAAATTTTTGAACAGTAGTGTATATACATCTAATATTATACATTAATATAAATATAAAATACATAAAATAAAAAGAAACATGTTTTATTGTATGAAACACTTCATTGTCAGTGTGTTATAAATTAAATTTTCCGGTAACAAAGCAATGGTGGGACTTGAAAGTGAAATGTTTTTTTTTTTTTAACACATTCCCTATTGCTTCATTTTGGTTAATTAGCTGTTGCCAAAACTGAAACACTCACCAAGCTCCTTTTCACTGATTGGAAGGTTCTGTTCCACCCAGTCTTCAGAGTGGGTGAGGGCCTTATCTACACCGTTACTGACCATCTGACCCATACGGCTCCCCATGACAGTGTTTATGCCACCGGCCACAGCCATACGTGTCTTTTCCACACCGCCCAGCACAGCCCCCACCATAGCATCTTTTGCTCCTGTTACTGACTGGCACACCATGCCCACTGTATCGGATACCAGCTGCAATGGAGATACAATGTTTATTCATATAGCAATTCAAGTGCTACAGGTTGCATGCAGAACATGTTCGTCTAGGCTTTACCTTGTCTGCTGGTTGTTGTAAAATTGGAAGGGGAAAAAGATATTGTTTTGCCATCCCACACACTAGTTCTTTTCCCATTCCCAGACAACTGTTATATGAACTGACCTGTTACTGATCCGCTGTCCCTCGCTGACCCGCGTGCTGTGGCTGTGTGAATCTCTAATGCTGACTCTAGTGCCCGTTGTAAAAGTGCAAAGTTAGGCGGAGTTCTTGAAACAAACCAATCAGCCATTCTGAAATCTCTTTTTATGAAACTACTCTCAGTTATTGATGACAACTTTAAATGTTTGCCTTTGTTAGCATGTTTTATGATTAGTATTTCCTCTCTAAGCTTAGAAAGGTTCCTCGTTTTAATTTTTTATCGGCGTCGCGTGAGCTTGGTCAGACTCACAAAGTCTTCATATTTTTACCTTTTTTAAATAACCTATAATATTACTGTAAAATGCCTCCAGTTTATAATTGTCCTAAATGAGAAAACAGCATGATCTAATATATTATACATTATTGTATGTGGATCCTGTTAATGAGCTACTTACTCTCACAGTGTTTTGGACCTTTATACCAGATTTATCAAGGTGCTGATAAAGATTCTGGCAGTTATCATTATCATATCTGAGGTGAAAGAAGCAACATGATATTGGATGTGACCAAACATGTTTGGAGTTTTTTTGAGGTCCAGGCACTTTGGTCCATAATCCAGTCCTGTTCCTCCATGTCAATGGTGGTTACAACTCTGATGACAACCTAACAAGATAAGATATGGAATCTCATGAAGATATGAAGCCTGTGGTAAAAAGCAGCGTTTACACTTCTGCTAATCATGAGATAATGGAGATGTGTAATGCAGTGGTGACGTGTACATTTATAAAAGCAGTCACTTCGAGAAGTATTGACTTGAATAATGTCAAGTAATGTTATTTTAGTATTAATTAGATACTATCATAGATTTTATTTGTATTTTTAATTAGCATTTATTTTTCTAGTTTTCATTTTAATTTTATTTTAAGCTTTAGTAGTTTTCGGATGTTCTTTTGTCATTTTTATTTAAAAAATATTTCTCTATAGCTTTAATTCTCTTTAACTTAGTACTATAGGCAACATTTCTAACTTTCGTAGAATTTTTTCTTATCTTTTAAGTTTATGTTTTCTCATCTAATATTTATATTGACTTTATTTTAAATACCAAAAACCATTTTTGGTAACACTTTACAATAAGGTTCCATTTGTTAACATCAGTTAACTATATTAGTTAACGTGACTAACAATGAAAAATACTTATAAAGCATTAATTCATCTTAATGTTAACTTCAATATTTAGTGTTACCCAATTTTTTATAGTTTTAGTTTTATGTAACAATAACACTGAAGCAGATAATGGAAATGAGAAGAATTACAAAACAAACCTTTGAAAGAATGAATCATACTTGTCATGTTATTTTAGGTGTGATGCAAGCAAAGTCAATGTCAGTCAACATCCACAGTACTTTCAGAGTCTCCATTTAATTCATGAAAAGTAATATTCAAATTACAAAACATAACGATAATAATTTATTCACTGACTCTCTATAGACAGACAAATCTTTGGTAGTGAAGAAATATTCAAAATAAAGAATGGAGAAAATTCACAAGTGCTGAATAAATTTGAATTGACAAATTCATCAAAATACAAATACTGCTGCCCCACTACTGTTAAAACACTACAATTTTACCTTGTTGAAAAATGGTGTCATCAAAGTCTTACGTGTTCAATGTAACAAAAATAAGTGTCTTAATTGTGAGAGAACAAAAGGCAAAAAAGGGCACGTTTGGCACATTCTGTAGTACATCTGTTGACATATTACCAGGAGTAAGGGCTAACTAATAATTATTGCATTCCAGATTAACAAATTAATGAGAATTATGTAGAGAAAGAACATGATTAAGGCACAAATTCCATAAGCCTTTAGAAACGACTGAAACTATTTGGTGTTAAAATGCCTCCGTGTAGCTCACTATTTGCTTTAGTGTAAAACAAGTTTTTGAAACATTCACCGGGTGCGCAGAAGTAACATGTCTCAAATGCTCTGAAGAAACATCTTATAGGGTGACGGGGGCACAATGAGTGTGAATTATTGTGCTGGTTGATGGAAATGTCTGACTTGTTTTAATGCTCACTTTACAATCACACGCTCAAATTTCACAGCTTTTTTTTTTTCTTAACATGTTCTCTTTTAGTTAACAAAATCTTTTTAAAACTTCCAAAATCCTTTTTTCATAGACATCATGGATATTTCTTCATCTCTTACAAAAACATATGTATAAAAAAAATAAAGAAAAAGAATATCATTAATATAGCATTACTTGAAGACAGAAGAGAGGAAAGCTACAAAAAGTGGACCAAGCACTCTTTTTACTACACACCTATTGACTCCGCCCACTCTATAGCAAGTGCACTATTTCAGTGAGGAAGGCCACTCAATCCAGGTTTCTGAACAGAAACCCATCATCGGTGCAGTGTGACCACACCTTAAAGACACAACATGGATCCAATAGTGAAAGGAAACACCACAGACTTGATAAAACCAAGCAGGAACCAATCAGAATGCTTATTTTCTGCATTCGTCACACAGCTCACAATATGAAAACGCTTAGAATAAGCAGAAAAAATAAAGGCAGCATGAGGATTCCAACTTCTTACTCCTTGTTTCGTCATAAGATACCCATCATTTGTGATATCTAGAAGAAACAGTAGTTCTTTTCTCAATTTTGCCCTTAAAGATGGAAAGTAAATGCAATTCTATGGATTCTTAGTGAGCCAGTCCAAGCACTTTAAGTCTAGGGATACAGTCCACACTGTCCACACAGTGCACAAGTGGACAGGAGAAGGACACGTTAATGACAACGATGACGACATCACAGCTACTGGAGATCATCTTCAATACTGACGCAAGAGTTCCATCATTACCGTTGATAAAGGCAACAGGGTTGTCGTTTGTTTTCTCTTCCCACAGCTTCTTTCTTTCCCCTCTTACTCTCTGAGGAAGTCGTGTAGGCCTCTTGGCTAGGAAGAGATGCGCTCTTATGCAAATACTGACGTGGAGCAGGAGACTTTCCTGCACATGTGCAAAATATCCAGCAATAGGGAGGTTGGGATGTGACTCTGTACATGTGGATTAGATGGGGAGGAGGAGGCACATGCTACTATTTAACATAAGCCTTTCATTTCAAAAGGCAAAATAGAAGAACACGAGATGCCAAAATTAGTTCTGAAATGTTTTTGAAGTTAATAAACTCCCCTTGAAATAGTCTATAAGTCCATTTTCTAGTACTCCACCGGCTGTAGTCTTTTTACAAAGCCCATTCTGGTCCAAAAAAAGGTCAGAGGTCACAGTGTGACCTTGCTGAGCCTGAGGGACAGACTGGAGCGTTGCTGTGTGCGCGGTAGTGTGGAGCTGCAACGACTGCGCAGCTGAACCGGCCTCCCCTCAGAACCACGCAGACGCAACAGGAAGTCAAATTTCGCAGATGTGCTCATGGCGTAAAACACGTTGGCGTTGTCAGGGATGACCAATTCTGGAGAAAGAGGAAAAAAAAGGATTGCAAATGTGATGTTGGCATTCCACCAAAAACAACCCTAAACAGATTATATATTCCAGTACCAAGATTTCAAAATGTGCCAGACACACAAGTTTTAATATCGTACCTCTCTCCTCAGAGATGACCTGCACCAGCTCATAGTCAGCAGCCTGCTTACCCTCCAGGTTGTGTTTGGCCATGGATCGAGAGATCACAGCTGGAGTTTTGTCTTGACTGGTCAGCTGCATAGAGAAACAATGATGCAGAAAGTCTTCTATGAATTTAGTGCCTCTAAATATGATGACTCTTTGCATCTTATATTATAAAAACAACATGTTTACACATTAAAAAAAGTTGTATTGTCATTTTACTAAAGCCAAAATAAATAATTAAAATATTATCTAGACATATTTATTTATATTATTTCTATAATATTTCCCCCCCCCCCCTACTATTGATGTTGGATGTATAAACCTGAAGATAAACATTTTAAAATTAAATTAATTTGAAAAATGTAAAATTCACTATTATTATTATTATTAATAATAATAATAAATTATTGAATTTAAATTATTTCAACGCTTTGAACTTATGTACATTGCAAGGAGGGAGAGATTAACACTATATGAATGAGATAAACACTAAAACACCGCAAAATTGTAAGTAGATTTGCTTTTATTAATTTTTTTCTGATCAAATCTGTGGCTGCCAAAAGAATACAATAAATCACAATTCACATCATGATATTTGACCAGTTCCTAGACCAGTTTTAAAACCAATGTATTTATTATTTTTACAGGAGTATCTGTCTGATTTGAAACACATTCATTAATTAGCATTTAAATTTTAGTTTTAGTAAACTAAAATAGAATGAGAAATGCTGGCTTTGGCAACTAGCTGAATACTTTTTTTTACTTCAGTTAATTTTTTTATTATTTCAAGTAAAGAAAATGTTTTTTTTATGGTTTTAGTTTACTTTAAAAACCCTTGTTGGTAATCTATCTACTATATATGACCAGTATATTAACAATGTATTGATGTATTAAATATGGATGTATAAGCAAGAATAGATTGTACACACTCATAAGAGTAGATTAATAATGTTCAAGTCCTCACTAACCATGATACTCTTGTAGAGGTTGCCGTTTCCCTGTTCAAGGCTTACTCGAATGATGCATGCATCCTGAGCTTGTGTGTTATAGGCAGGCGGAAAACCGGGTGATGTGGGGGACATGGGCAGCAACGAGATCGAGCGCCGATGCATGCACGGGGGCCCAGGCAGGGTCGGGGAGGCCAGAGATATGGAAGCGCTGGCTGTAGAAGAGGAGGTGTCCATGGAGTGCAATGAGGTGCAGGAGGAAGAATCGGACAGCTACAGTAACCAAACAGATGTGCATTTAATACATTATTTTAATACAATGGTATATCAATAATTTTGTTAGGATTTAAGATGTTTGTACCTTCTTCAGATGAGTGTCTATAGAGTGTGTGGGTGTCATGCCTTCACTCTCTGAAGGACTAGA